TCGGCCGCAGTCAGCAGCGCGCCGCCAAACTTGTTCGCATACTCGCCCACCGAATCCTTAGGGGAAGGGAGAGGAAAGTGAGGGAGGCGGGAGGAGCTGCGCGCAGGGCTGCACGTAGAGCCTCGGAGCGGGTCGGGCGTGAGAATTGGATGGCGGACCGAGCGGTGAGGGGGGAGCGTGAGGGCTCCGGCCGGGCACACCTTGCGAAGCGATGCATAGGCGCCGACGCCGCCGCCGACGAGCGCCGAGAACACGAAGTCGCCAAAGAAGCCGAGGATGTCAAAGAGGGGCAGGATGAAGAAGATGAGCGTGCCTCCGATGGCAGCCGCGGAGTACGAATTGTACTCTGCTTGCGAGAGGTCGTTTGGGCTCTTGAGGTCGAGGTCCTTGATGGGGTCCGCGACGGCGGCCGGCAGCGTGATGCGAGGGATGTCTAGCATCGTGGTCGGCGCGGCGCGACGCGCGGCGTGCGCGCGCTGCGGAGGCGCGGGCAGCACGAGGCCGGCACTGGCGATGAACAGAAGTGCCGACATCGATCGAAGATGATTAGCTCAGATTTCATTTTCTTTTTTATCGATCAACACTTTCGATAGACCGAAAGTAAGATCGTTCGGTGCAGAAACCCCGGCCATGCCCATGTAACGCGATTGTGCTCGATTTTTTTTGATTTTTTGGTAGAAGTGTCTCCAAGTCTTCTGGACCCATCGATGGCCGTCGCCTCGACGCCGCTCGTCGCGGCACCATCGTGCCCGGCCTGGGCGAAGCATCGTCGCGGGCGCCAGCCGCAGTTCGACGGCAAGCCGTGCGAGCCTGCTAAGGAGGAGGACATGTGGCTGTGCCTGGCCGACGGCCGCGCGCGCAGCACCGCCGACCTGAAGCGCCTGGCGACAGCCGCTCGGGTGCGAGCGAAACGAGCAAGAGATGCAGCCGCCGCGAACACGCGCGATCGGCAGGCGCGCGACCAGCGCCGCCGGCAGCGTGAGCAGCACGACCGGCGCGCAGCGCCGGCGGTCGCCAAGACCGTGCGCCCACAACGCGGCCAGTGCGGCTGCCCGGCGCACGCGGTGTGCGGCATGTGCGTCGACCAGGGCAAGCTCGCCGCGGCCGAG